CCGCCCCTGCTCCCGCCACCGTTTCCGCTCCCCATCGCGCCCCCGACACCGCACCCTTTCCCTTGTACAATATTCTCCTGCACCGCTGTGCTGTCCCCGAACTTCGCATTGGCTCGCCCGTCCGAAATTGGTGGTATAAAAATAGTATTGTGCGAAAGACACAGTTATTTGAAAATGTGTATCTACTTGGGATTCCGACATTAGTAAACCATAATTGAGTTGAAAGTAGGATGTGGGAACAGTAAGAATACTTGTAAAAATAAGAATAGGGAAGATAACTGCAGTCATTATATTCGACACATCAGATTCATTGCACATCACACACAAATCCAAATGTAAATATGCATTTGCATACAAAACTCATTTGTGTTTGCTGTGCTTCCTTGAAATCCAACCGCGGTATTCATTCATGTAGTAATTTATTCACATTGAATTATTCAAAGGCGAATTAGAAAAGTATCATTAAATGTGTAATTGCTGAAGAATAGGCGAGACAGTTATTTTGCATTCAGTGCTCTCATTTTCTTCATCGATATCAGTTAAATATCAGATCAATTGCTGAATTGCAATCTTTAATATTGAACTGCCTCTTTCGCGTGTTGAAAAGTCACAATCCAAGAAAATAATTATTTGCGCCTGCGAGTTCGAACTGTGTATTCAGTGATCCTAAAGGTCACGTACATGCAGGGTATAGGCGCATACTCATTCTCACTTTCACATTGACAACATCCCCATTTTGTAACTCGGTTCCCTCTTTTTACAGTACGAAAATCATTTCTTTTTTTCTTTCTCTCCGCCTCTCTCTGTCACTCCGTGTCTCTGCCTCTGTCTATGCCTTGACGCCCGAGGTTCGTGTCAGTCTGTTCCCCGCGCGCCGCTTGGCGCGGCGAGTGTCAGCGTCAACAGAGTCGCATACCCCAGCCTCCCCTCCCCTTCCTTCCCCTCCCCCCCTCCGCCACGTGAAGCGACAAGCGAAGGCGGCAGCGCCTCGCCCTCACCCGCACTCTCGCCCACCCCCTCCCGCCTCTGCTGACGCTGGGTATTTTCGGCCGCCGCTTGCGCATTGCCCTACACTCCTGAAGATGCGGCCGTCGAGGCAAGCGAATTCTATTGAGGATGTTGTGGTCCATATATATTAGGCATTACTTCGATCGCATATGATACAAACTGTTCTCACCGGCAAAGGTAGCTCATGGCATCAACTCGTTACTGTAGTCTCTTTGACCGAAAAATCCTAGGTTCGAGTCCCGACGGTGACAAGATTTTCGACGCTCGTTTCTCGGCTAGCTCGAATTCAGTCGCTGTCTGGAAGAGAATTCTAGCGACCGGCTGCTCTGTTCGGTAGTGTTCCATGGTTTTATTCCATCAGCACCAGGCGAATGCCGGAGCAGTATCCTAACAAAAAAGTCACGTACCGCGCTAGATCTTTCCCTCTTCCTTGTTCTATTCTCATCTCTTACTTGCAAACACAGACACACACACACGCGCACACACACACACACACAATGTACTACACTACCACACATGTGGGGTGCTTAGAGCTTGTCCCAGCAGGAGCGGTGCCCCTCTGGAAGGAGATACCTGGTTCGGGAAAGCCCCTGCAAGCCAACGTGTGATCGGGGCCGGTTCTCATCTTGCAGCGGTGGGGGATCACGGCCACCGTCCTCGATAAAACGTGTACTACACTTATGGGAGTAATACGTTTATCCGTAGATGCTCCCGGAAACACTAATCAATCAGTGAAAAGCTGTTCGTCTTTTTCCTCGTCGAATTATTGTTAGCTCCTATAAAAATGCGTGTTTTCACGGCATTCCTTCCCCACTTTCTTCTCCTCGGAACTGGCTTGTATGACGCTTCAAGCAAATACATCCAAAATGAAGTTGAATTTCCGATTGTGACCACTGGAACTCAATTTGTCTCCAAAGTTTTTGGTTTTGTATAGACCTACATTTGGGGATTTGAGTGTGTTGTGCCTGTAATCCAGTTCATTGCATATCGTCCACAGACGATATTTTATAGCGCGCAGACAGTCCATGAGAAGTTAAATCCAGCTAGAGCGCAATCACGTGCGAAAAGCCCACAAAGCTGGATTAAAGTGTTGATTTATGAAAAAATCTCGGTGCGATAAAACAAAAGCAATATTTTCGACGTTGCCAAATCAATGCTCGAGAATACTTTCAAGCTTACTATACACCTGTGTAATGAAAATATATTCACAAGTTTTGAATAGTCGTGTAGGGGTTAATAATCTTCAGAGACAAAGGTATTCGCATTTTCGTTAATTCGGACAGACAGACAGACGGACGGACACGCAGTGAGATGGACAGACGTTTTGAAGGTAAAACAACGGCTTTTTTTAATGTAAAGAAACCATAAAGTGTGAACTTTCACTATGCTACATATTACAGAAAGTAACTTCCTACACGTAGGTACAAAAAAATCCTTTTTTACTGTATCAGGGAGCCACAAAACGAGTTTTTCGGTGAAAACACGGCACTTTTCACCGCAGCATTACATACCTTTTTCTGCGCTACAAATATTACTTTGTGTGTACGTACGTACTGGAGAAAGTGGAAATTGTGGTGGTTGGAAACATTTTTGCGGGATCGAGTAGTATTATAATGTTGTTTAACCATTGCAAACGCCAGAAAGTAGGTGCTATACTACTAGTTTTGTTTTTCATTTAGATGTGTTCACGATCCCCTTTCGCTGGTGGACAACATGATGAAAGCTATTAATGATCATTATTATTGCTGAAAAAATAGAATAAAAAATTTACCAATTTCCGTAGTTTTGAACGAAGCTATTGAGACGTATTATTTTTAATAGTTTAATTTCCATTTTCGTTTAGGTATCTACGAGTATGTTACAAGCGATAATAAGTGGTAATGCCAGACATGGTCGCTGTTACTTCCAGACTTGGTCATATGCTGAGAAGAGAGAGATGATTCATCTAGTAATCGTCTTTGTTTAATGTACAGTAAATATATTTTTTTTATTTACAACTCACACTCGTGTTCTTATTCGTACTCTGTCGTACACACTTTGGCGTACACTCACCTACGCTCCAGCACGAACATGTCTTCACGTGTAAATGGCAACCCTCCTTGAATTTATCCTCTTCGGAACCTTCTGCACCGACATTTGGATACTAGGAATCGACTGCTTGTAACGAGACACTATTACGTTTTTCTGGTCAGGTATATGCGTGCCACTCTTCAGTGTGCCGTATACCTAGCGAGAGTTGTGTGTTCGGAAGTGCTGGCGGTGCAGAGAGATTGCAGCAACAAGGTGACGCAGAAAGGGTTGAGGGAGGCACCTGAGCTGGGAAGCATAAAAGAATACTGCCCTCGCAGCTGTGTCCAGGTCCTCCTGAACGTGTTCCGCCTCCTGGCGAAGGTTTTTGATTGGTTTCTTTCAGAAGAGCATGGGAAGGCACTCCGACGATCACAAGTACGACGGACCATGCTTTCAACTGCACGACCCTCGTAGTTTTGAATTTATGTGTATGTTGTAGCTCTGCAATATATAAACACGTGCGTGAAGGGATACATTGGGAAGAAAATGCGTGTATGGTGTCTTGGTAAGATTGATTATTGTAAGAATTGTGCTAATGAAGGTCAGCATTCTTCCGAAAGGGAGACTGGTTTTTGAATGAACCAATATTTCACACTAAAGCCAACTTCTTAAACAAAATTAGAATAATATCTCCGTTGAACTTTTACAACGGATGAAAGAACGAGTGATAGACGATAGTCACATTGGCAGGTTTCTACTATATCATTTTGCTATTGATGTTATAATGATATTAAAATGTTGTATAGCCGTTACAAAAAGAAGTGTAAAAACGCCAAACTATGTACTTTTAAAACAGCAACATTGTTTTTCACCGTGTTATTTCTTTAAAATCCAAAAGCATTTAAATAAAATCCTATTTGTGTTGAGACACGCTCAATCAAATTTTTAAAGTTGTTTACTTCCTCTTTCGTTCATTCTCATTTCCTTTCTCGTTGTTTTGCCTGAAAATTTGCCAGCGGTAAACAGCAAATGTTCGGAACACACTTACTTTCAAGAGAAATGTTTGCAACAAGCTTAGTGTTAGAGAAAGACCATATAACTTCCAGTATCATCATTTCCCAATTTCTATTAAAAGAATTCGCTCCGAAGTTAAAACAGATTAATATGCTTCCATCGTAGATTTTATTCCCAGGCCAGTAAACCTGTACTGCTATCTGGATTGTGCACTCGAAAGTTTCAACTCCATATTTACCCTCAGGACACTTTTGAATGCTTTAGAAGAGAATGCCTGTAGGATTTTCTTACACTATTTGGACATTATAACTAGCATGTATTTTGATCTTTTATTGATTGAATTTCAAATATTTTTGTTTGTAATTTGTGGTTAGTGCCAACGTGGACAACAGAATAACTATCCACCTTTGAAGATAATATTAATGTTAATATTAAGTCCGTCCAAAAGGACTCTTTTGGGCGAAGGCCTCCTGAAAGTCAGGGGTAGCTTGCGGAGTTGCCATTTCTGATGTTACCATCTGTCCCCTTTGTAGTTCTCACGTGAATATTGCGATAACTGCTGGAAGTTCGTTGCTGCAAATAATGGATTGGGAGAGAAATTAGGTCATTCGATACTATTCTGAATACATTAATGTACAATATCGCTCCCAAATGGGACTTTTCAAAGCATCCGAACACTTTTGGTCCCGGCGTTACGTGTCCTGTTGATTTGCATAATTGCCTCATAACATGATTGCCTCATGACTAACGTTTAAAACCCCAGAGAACGTGTGTACTTCACTAATTTTTTTAACTGCAAATGATAGAGGAACTGAGCCATTGCATTTTTTTACTTCCTTCTTTTATTTCCAGTACGAAATATTGTTTAAAATCGCTATTTATTTTGTATAAGTTCTTTTCAAATTGTATGTTTTCAAATGTATTGTATTTTTTCAAAAATCTAATATTTTTGAAACTTTCTTTTCCAGGTAAGAAAATAGTACCCATTTTCAACACGGCGGCGATTTTGCACCGAGGCGGGTAATGTATCAATATACTGTTGCTGTGTCGTCTTCTGTTACATAAACGTTTGAAAATGTTTTATGTAAGCTTGTTTAAATGCTTTGTCATCGTTGAGAGGGCATATCCCTTACAAAAAGGCAATGAAGAACCACTTTGCACGTGTGCGGTTGGGAGAGATTAACTAAATTTTCATTTTTCCCCCTTCTTTCATTTTATTATTTCGTGTTCGACCTATTCAACCTTTAAAGGATTTGCATTTATACATAATTTATTTGTCATACAATATTATTACATGGAAATTACAATTTTTAAATTTTACAATTATTCATGAATATTACACAGGTTTGTCCAGTTGGACCTCTAACGCATATACTACTACAATTAACTTATTTTACATACATTTTACAATTCGAATATTTTGTTCATAGTTTTAAATTATTAACAATTAATAGAGGATGTAATAAATCCTTAGCATCCCGCTAGTGTCCAAAATTCTGCCACCACCGTCGGGAATCTACTCCTAGCACCTCCCGGACAGAGGCACTGCACTGACATCAATTGATTCGCAGATCCACCTAAGTCGGTCATGGTGCCAAGACCAAGTTGATGCAGAGGGGGTCAGGAAATGCAGCAGTGGGCTAAGGAAGGAGGCAGGAGCGCGAGCGGCAGGGGGGGCGGGGGGCGGGAACAGAGTGGGCGGGGGCGGAAGGTGGCGGCGGGTGCTTCTGCTCGCCTTCCAGAACTAGCAAACAATCGCGTTCTGGCGCCTGGGAGTCAGCGAAGCTAGCCGCCATTCAAAGGAGAGAGAAGCTGAGAGAGACCTTCGAGAAGGATGGCGTTCGAGGATGTGGCCAACGAGCATTCGGTTTCACACGAGCCGTCTAGGGAAAAAAAAAAAAAAGGTTGGGGGAAAGTTTTAGGCGTCGCACCAAGTAAAAATATGCATCTTGCATTTTTGACAAAGTCACAAATAATATATATACTCATGATTGCACTCTATGAAGAGAATGATCGGAAGATATTCAAAATATTTAGTATAGCATACCAATATTTAGTTAGTTTATTACCAAAGTCTCTTTATTTACATCAATAGGAGTAAACTACAAATAAAACCTTAATTTTTATTCGTTAAACCTCCTAATTGAGAGTGGGCAGTTAGTCCAATTATTGCACTCTCAAGCAAACAGATTATGACATCAAGATAGCAACAAATTGACAACTGTACAGGGCAGGTAGTATTATATACCAATCTCTTTTAACAGTTACTAAACGCGCCTCGATATTGCTCCAAAATCATCTTTTTTCATCCCAAAACAGCGTGAGTGTGACTTAACCCTGCATGATGATTGGGTGCCTGGCCTACACTTGGGGCATCAACAACAAGAAGTCACTTCGTTAATAAACGTTTACTCCACTCTTTACATATGCATGGTCTGGCATTAGTCTGTTGTAGTGTCAAGTCAGACTGGATGGATTTGAACCGGTCTCGTAGATCGACCAACTTTAAAACACAATGGATTTCTCCTTTAATAGTACATGTACAGCCCCAAAGTATCGGCCATATTTACACTAACGCCGTTATTTATAATAATGTAAGAGACTAAACCAAGAACTCGATCATTCCTTGGATCCCAAATATCCCAGGTGCTACCTACCAATCTTGTATCGCTAAATTATGCCCCATTTTAAACTTCAATTACCCATATTTACATTTTTTATTTCATTCACTATCTAGTTACTTAGTTTACTGTTTAGCTACTTCTTAGAACCACTATGAATACTGACCAATGACCCTTCACAATCAAGTTTTCAAAACGGAGTAGATTACCTTCCGATTCTACAGTGAGAAAAATGCAAAGAATAGATCGTCGAGAGAGGAAGAAAACGGCTCTCGCTGTTAGCGCCCAAACGCGAAGCAGCCATTCCAATCCCACCACTGCCTAGAACCCTCTCGTTCGCGCGGCGCGGCGGGCGGGCGGGCGGCGGCGGGGCGGCGGCCATTCCTCAAATGCCGCGCGGTCCGCCCCGTCCAAGGCGGCGCGCCTGGGCGCGCGCTGGCGCGGGCGGCGGCGGCCGGTGGGGCTGGGCCGGGAAACGGGGCCCGCGCGCGCGGCGCATTAGAATTGAATAAAAAAAGCAAAAATAGCCGGCCGCTTCGCCCGAAAGTAAGCCCGTTGTTTCGAGCGCACCCTGGAGGCCTCGCGCGAGCGCAGCGGCGCTTGCCACGACACCGCCGTGGCGCGCGGCCAGATCAATACACGGCTGGGAGCGCGGAGCACAGACGACGGGGCGGCGGAGCGGGGTAGGACGTCCTAGGAGGCGGCGGGCAGAATGGGGAGCGTTGCGGCAGAGACCAATGCGAAAATAGCAAGCAGCTGTCCCACGCATCATCGCCACGGTCAGCTGCGCGGCCGGAGGGTCCTACTGCTGCCAGTGGCCGGGCCATCCTGGGAGCTAAAGGCACATGGATGCGTAACCGCCGGTCTAGAAGGAGCCACTAGGGCATTCACAACTGGTACGTCACTGCAAGTGCCGTCATCAATGAAGAACGAGGCGCCTAGTATCACCAACTACCTGAAACAGCTTGGCAAAGATTACACTAGCATAGCACTTAAGCAGTAACAAACAAACCACTGGTACAGCGCTCTCAAATTCTTTCCATATACACTTTTCTCACTCTATTCTCCTCACTCATTACTTCAAATTTATCAATCCCAACTTACATATAACTCACATGCATGCTACAACCAGCCAATAGTTAATCAGGTCCGGAGCTTTGGAATATTCTTCACCGCGGCTGGGGCAGTTCTCTGCAATGTTAGATACCTGGTTGCGAAGAGACCCACAAGCACCGATAGAGCATAAGGTGAACGGAGCTGATGTGCGAATTTCAAGCATTACAAGACCAACACGTCTATCCTAAAATCCACAGATAAACAACATAGGGACCTACTACAAACGGGACTCTTTAGCGGTTGTACGCGCCTCGGAAACACTCATGCAACAAAATCGAACGCTTCACACACATAACTCAAGACGGCGCACCCTGCGATGCGCTGTGAGTGCAGGGGTATAGTCATGAAGAGAATCCCAGTCCGATAATCCCTGCCGTCTAATTTCACATGCCGATTTGCTATTGAAAGTTATGTTTCTGAGACAAACATACAAATCCGTTCGCTACAAAACAACGCTATAATTAAATAATATACATGGTTATATTCTTTTTGACAGGAACACCAGACGATTAATTCGTTTAAATGGCAAGAAAAATTAGCTAATTGGATGTACAAAGTCCGTACTTTAAAACTTCACTTTGATTTTAAATTTAAGCGTTACACTTTCAATGTACAAATACTTTAATTTCATTGTAAACTGTACACCACTTACAGAAACGAAAGTCATACATAAATACACCTACAATTAATGCTAACTTCTGACATATTGCAGTATGAATAATAAACTGAACTATGTATAATTCGTTAATTAATAAATGTTTTTTTAAATAGGAATGCCCACTGTTTTGAGCGTGACGGAAATGCCGTTCTTTGTGATGTAAATATATATTGTCATAGGAAATGTCGTTCATGCAGGAAATGTCGTCAGTATTGGTTATTTCAACTCGGAGGACGAGAGGATGGACGGCACGTTGAAGAGCAAACGAACCAACATGGAGACAACATATATTGTTTCCTATCACAGAATAAGGTCTCTTGGTATCGACAGTCGCCATCGCATGACGCGTGTAAATTTATCAAAAGGAAAAATGATACAGTTTGTTTAACTAAACACTGTGAGAAGGTTAGATGCATGCCTAACACATAACTCAGAGTTGTGAAGTGGTACATGGTAAATTATTTCGGGCAAGATGTTAGTCGTATTAATCCAAAGATTAAAGGTTGAATCTATCTCAATCTTAATAAAAAATTAAGGACGCTGCACGTTTCAAATCTACTATGGCATTAATAGCAAATAACTAGATTACACAAAATAAGCAGACTGTTATAACTTCAGTACAGTAAACGTAAGCCAGCTCATAAGTTCGGTGGGTGTTTTCCCATGAATGCTGCAGGAAGTTGTTTTATGAAAGAATACCTTTCTAATGCCAACATCAACAAGTTAAGGATCGTATAGAAACGGCCAAATACCTGTGACAGACATTCCTATTCTACAATATTGTCGTCGAAGATTTTCAATGATATGTTTTTCTGATGTATTTGTTCCGTTGTTCCCCGAAATTTCACCATTCAGAATAAGTATGAAAGGGACAACCGCATTTGGCGACGCAGTCCAGATGTCACTTGTTGAGGACGGGTTCGTTCATGCTGTTGCTTAGGCTAATGCTATGCCGTCACCCGGACCCCCCTTGAAGACGCTGCGGTTGTTTGCCGTGACGGAAAGGGATTTCAGTAGCTATTTGATCGAACTGATCTAATTTTAAAGGGCCTCGCGGATACGGTTTGTTCCAATCTCTCAACCCGTTGCATGTCTTTGACAACATTCTCTTTCTTCTGCCCTGGTCTGCCGCAACTGGAATCAGCCTGGCACTCTTGCAAGAAACGTAAGGGGTAAGTATAGACTGTGGTGGGAAGGGGGATAGTCAAACACCCGATCCTACGGAGAAGAGCTTGAATAGTGGAATGGGGAACCCGTGGTGGTAGTTTATATATACGCAGGCACACCCGAGGCCTTCGGGTCCGCGAGGTGTCTGATGAAAAATCGTATCCGTTGGGTCGCATTGAAGGCTGGGGCGTTTTCGTACGTCGCAGCGGGGGGCGGGGCGGACGATAAAACGATGCGCTTGTGGAAGACTTTGCAGATCAGCTGACGGAGAGAGACTGAGATGACTCAGATGACTCGGCTGACGAAGTCGGGACAGCCGATACTTCCTGCTGTTTGTAGTATGTACTTCCAATCCTAGCAAGCTGACACCTTTGCTGTTGGCGCTGGTTTGTATCCAAGAAAGTAGATTTTTCAGGCGGCATAATTTAGGAATATCCTTCCGTTCTCTGTCTAAAGTT